TTCACAGTATCAGGGGAAAGTGCAGGGCCCTCTTTGTGCCAGAGCGAAGGTGTGTGTGGATTTTAGGTAGTAGGAATGCTTTGCCATTTCTGTATCCCTGCCAGCTTTGTTATATTTCACAATTTTAGACATTTTGGGCACTTGCAAACCCCAGTGCAATCAGGATAATTATCTGCTAGTGAAAACACCCGTGCACGAGGAACACTGTGCAGATCTCACACCTATGTGCACCACTGTATGTGTTCAGGTGCGGGGTGATCGTGGTTATTTCAGAAAAAGCTAAACTAAAAATCCAGGTGTGCTGCTACACATATAGGTAAATGTATGTGCACACCATCCTGGACTGCACAGTCTGCCAGCATCCACCCTGCTATTGCAATTAATTTATACAAAGGACACTTACAGCCTACCTTAAAAGGAACTCGAACAATGCAAAGCGGATTAAGACACCCATGTAGGAAACAAAATACTGGCAAAAGCTGAGCCCATTTTTCACTTCTGCCCCTCTGCCAATGATGCCCGCCTGCTACATTAAGCCAGCTATGCTTTCAGAATTTAAGATACCAACCCCAACATGTCAGTTTGTAAAGATAAATACATTATTCAACTTACCTATAACAAATCAGACAATGTTAGAACATAAAGGAAGTCTACATTTTGGGATTTAGGAAGGCAGTCCTCACAAACAGAATAGGCATCTTAATTTCAGCAAATCGAAAAGATTGTATTGGTAACTTCTTGAACACATTTAGCAAAATGCTAATGAGGAATGTCATGAAACACGCACATGGAGTGAATGCCCTTTTAAAAATTAACTTAAAAAACAGAGACCAAGGATAACACCAAGGCTCACTCTGGATTTTAAGGAAAACTTTGACAGCAGTCTGCAATCTGCATTGAGTGAGAAACTGGTCTCCATTGTCTGTTTGTTGTTATGCTTTAGCTTGGAAAAGAAGAGCTTGTCATATAGATGCTCTGCACAAGCTCAGAGGGCATATGTTTCCCCTTTGATTTTCCTGTTTCTCTAATGACTTTTTCCTGGGTGTCTGGCATAGTAAGCGAGCAAATAACGTTTGCACGGGTGTCAGGGGCAGCGGGCAAACATACCAGCTCAACACTGCAAGCTCACTCACTTCGAAATGGGCTAAAAATACTCCTGTAACCAGCAAGCTTATCTTCATTTGCTAATGATAGATTATAGCAGAATCCCAAGGCCTGTATTGCACACTGCAAGAAGAGGAACCACTGAACACAACACCTAAAAGCATGACAGCAGGCAGAAACATAAGGGCCCCTGTGCTGCAGTTACACCCTGGAAAACCTTTTAAATCCAGCTAATTTGATGGACCAAAGAGCCCCGTGATATAAATCGGAATGTATCAGCCTCATTATTGGCACTGGTTTATATAGTTCCCCCCAAAATAATAGGATTTTTTTTTCATTTTGGCATTGTATCTAAATGGCTTCAAAGAATTCATATTTTATAAAGCTTTAGACTGTCTTGAGCCTGTTATATGAAAACTGTAACTCTTAGCGGCCCAATCCCGCCTCTCAGAAGTATGTTGGCTTTTATGCAAAGGTGAAGAAGTTGAAGGAAATAAAAACGGATGATACTGTGTTTTTTAAAAGTCCCTGATTGTTAAAAATACTGCAATGCCTCTTGTTAAAAATACTGCAATGTCCCCTGTCTTAACTTCTTCTTTTTACTGTTAGCAGGAGGCTGCTAAGGTTGCCCATGCCAAGGCTAAATAGTAAGAGTTATCCTCTTGAATCAGACCATGGAATGCATGTCCATCCATCCCATACTGGATTTGTCCATCCCATACCCATGTCCATACTGTCCTGAGCATCTCCCTCCCGTCTACTTCCTTCCATCACACGAGAATCACTTGGCTTTAAAAGGCAGTGTTAAAACCAAGGTGATGGGACAAGAGGCCTGCCCGAAGGGAAGCTCTGACAATATTCTGCAACCCTTTTTTAAAATGATTTGTTAGTGAAACTATTCAGCAACCCTTCCCTTTCCGTCGTCCTGTTGTACCACTTGCAGATGCTAGGACTTGTAAGACAGACATGAACACAATTGGCAAGGGCACTGGGAGCTTGGCCAGCTATCCCAGGCTGGAACAATAAACAGGAACAAAAATTCTTCATCAATGTTTTGCACCTTCCCTCCAGAGTCTGTGCGGTGCCCAGGGCTTGCCCCTGCGACCGTTTGGGCCTGCCCAGGAGACCTTTCTTCTTGTTCGGTCCCCTCTGCTTGGTGGGGACGTGCTGGTCCTCTCAGCCCCAGCCCAGAACAGAGGTCTGAGGAGGTTTTGCTTCATGTTGAGGGCTGGGTTTGGCTACCACTGAGACAAGTAGCAGAGCCCTGGAGGGGCCAGGCTCACTCGGTCCCTCCCTGGTCTCTAAAGCACGGGGAACAGCATCTGGATTGTCCTTTCCAGCAGGCAGCGGGAGACATCCTGTCCGCTCCTGCACTAGGCAAAACCCCAGACACCCATGCAGAGAAGCCTCTCGATGCGCCACGCGCTGTAGGGAGGCTCTTGGCATCTTAGTCTGCAGAAGAGGAGATGGAGGGGGATTGAATAGCCGCCTTCACCTCCCTGCCGGGAGGCTGGAAAGAGGATGGAGCTGGGCTGTTCTCAGTGGGGGCAGATGGCAGGACAAGGAGCAATGGGCTCAGGCTGCAGCAAGGGAAGTTGAGGTTGGATACTAGGGAAAAATGTCTCATTAGGAAGGTGGTGAAGCACTGGAATGGGTTTACCTAGAGAGGTGGTGCAGTCTCCATCCTTGGAGGTGTTGAAGACCCAGGTAGACAAAGCCTTGGCTGAGATGACGTAGTTGGGGCTGGTCCTGCTTGGAGCAGGGGGTTGGACTAGATGTGACCTCCTGAGCTCCCTTCCCACCCTCATTTTTTATGATTCTAGTATAATTTCCAGCATCATTCAGCCTCTACGCTACCCTAAATACCTTGAGTTTTGGTGTCATTTATCTCTGCTAAGCCTCTCTCCCCATTAGCACACCCTGGACTTCCTTATATGCTAAACCTGAGCATGGGTCTGTAGAATAGGTTGGATTATTTTCCAATGCTGTTGCCTCCTTTCTCACTAAAGGATATAGCCAGAGGCCTCCTGGACAGATAATGAGGTTTCAGCATCCTTTCCCTTTGCTTTAGAGCAGAAACAGTAATTCTGTATTGCGCAAAGACTTTGTTTTGCTCGGACCCTGAACTAAAGGCTTCTCTGGGACATAGTTTAATTCCTGCCACAAATCCTGGAGGGGGGGGGAGGGGGGGGTTGCTGCGAGTTGCAGCAATGTTTTTGGGATTAGCCAAATTGCACCACATTTCTGTGGGCTATCAGTTCTTCCGTTTCATGACGGTGTGGACATGCTCCAAACCAAGACGGCCGCAGCCAAGTACAATACTGCATGCATGTAATCACAACTAGTCACCCATAGTTAACAGGCTTTCTATTCGCTGCATCTCAGGACCATAGACATTTTCTTTCCCATTCAGAGAAGTAAATCTGGATTGAGTTTATGTGGTGCTTAGAAGTGACTGGAAGGAAACAGACTCGGTGCCGCTGCCACCATGAAGGCTTTTATAGTGGGTGCTGAGAAAAAAGGATATTCTTGATTTCAGCTCCCCACACCCTCCTTTGAGTGGCGTCTGTCTAGGGACCCGTAGCACGAGGATTTGCTATAGCATGGCTGTGTGCAGGGGGAAAGGGCCAAAAGCAGAGTCTGGGCCCATAGCAGGGGGTCAGGCCTCACCCCATAGTGGTGCCTCACTCATCTGCCACTGGGCTGGACTGGTTTTTGGGTCCAACCAAGCTGGGGAGAGAAATGCATCTCTGGAGCCAAGGTTTGAAGCCAGACTCCGGTCTGAAACAAACCCAAATCCAAGGAACGTTTCCTCAAATTGAAGCTGTGACCTGCTCTGCTTCGACTCAGCAGGTAAGCGTGTGGAAGGGCACAAGCCAGGGTGTTTTCCCCACCAAAAACCCTGTGAAGTCCAAGTTTGATGCCCCTTTTGTGCAGCTCATATTTCGATAATCTCCCACCCAAGTGCAGCTCTCGCCAGACCGCGTGCTCAGCGGGCAGCGCCTGGCCCGTGGGCTGCGATCTCCCTTTCTTCATCATGCTTTGCTCTTGCAACGGGGACACCAGCTTAGGGCCAGGCTGGGTCCTGCTGGGTCTGGTGCAACGGCCCCACCAGATCTCATGAATCTGTATGGACGCATCCCCCCCAGAGGCCCGATCCCATTTGCCCTCGGCCAAGGAGAAAATGAAGCCCACGCAAAGCCAGCGGCATCCATATATCATCTTTTATTTCTGTCACAGTGCAGCTGACACCCCAAACCGGGATCGGGGCCCTGCTGTGCCAATAGGACCAGGACGGGGCTCTGCCTCAAAAGGCCAAAGCATCATAGAAAATGAGGGTTGGAAAGGACCTCAAGAGGTCAACTCCCTGCTCAAGGAAGGACCGACCTGATGCATGACACTATCCCAGCTCCATCGCTGGCACGGCTCCCCCAGCCCATCTGCCCCCATGGTGTTCAGACAGCAGCTCCCTGGGGCAGAGACTGCGGCCAAGTGAACTCAGGGTCAGCCAGGCTTTCCTGCACCGTCGGGACATCCTGAGTAAGGGGCAGGGAAGAGGGAGAAGCCAATGCAATTGGCACGAGCTTGCTGGTGGAAAGGGCCCAGCGGCTCCGGATGGCTCTGCTGCGGTTCTTAGCCGGGGTGCTGCAGAGGTCCTTTGAAGGGTGCCGCACAACATCTGCACCGTTAGGTGTGCAATCCCCTGATTCACAAGACAAACCCAGAGGCTTCACATAGGCATTCAGAGCACCACAGCCATCCTGGGCTTGCTGAATTCATTGCAACATAAAAGATTTTGCATTAAAAATCTGTGATTTTTCCATAGTCAAAAAAAAAAAGGGGAAGCTAGTTTTTG